TCAAGGTTTTTCACCTGTAGATGCCTGTAGATGGCTGTAGATGCCTGTAAATGCCTGGCTCAAGAAAAGTGAAGATAAAATAAAAAAGGGATAAAGAGCCAAAAAAGGCCTGGTTATTCTGAGTGAGCCCAGTCACACGTTCATTTTCGGTAAGCCCTTTTCAAGTGAGGGGTGAAGCACAGAAAGAACCAAAATCACTTGACAGTGTTTGAGGTTTCACGCCTATATATCCACAGTCTGCTGGCCAATCTTCACTGACTGCACATTCCATCTGTAAGAGCAGAGGGTGAAGGTTGAATTAGGAGAGCAATAGCACAGCTGTACATAAAACACTTTAGTGCACACAAAGGGAGACATAACAGAGTTCAAAAGAGAACAAATTGTTAATGCGACTCTCAATTGCACATTTTTGATGAGGACATAAATGATAAAAACAAAAAAGGAGTGATTTGCAAATTCCATATTCACCTTGTAAAATATTAAAAAGACTACAACACATTATTTGATGTTTTACCATGTAAATTTCATTGTTTTTGTAAATATACACTCTGTGCATGTAAAATCTGATAACTTCGATACGTTCCAACAAAGTTGAGACAGTAGAGCATTACCACTGTGTGGCATCACCATGTCTTTTCATGACACTTATTAAACGTTTGGGCACTGAAGACACCAACTTAGCAAGCAGAATTATTCACCACTCATCCATTATGCCGGTCTTCAATTGTATGGGGCTTTTAATTATTTTGTTTTGCAGTTCTTATAATCAGCTATTCTCAGTTGGTGACATGTCAGGACTGCAGGCAGGCCAGTCTAATACCTGCAGTCTCTGCTTACACAGCCATGCTCTGGTAATCCTGGCAGAACATGGGTTTGCTTTGTCCTGCAGGGTGCGTCTGAAAAAAGACCTGGATGACATCATATGTGGCTCCAAAATTTGTAGATATCTTTGTGCTTAAATGGTGCCCTCACAGATTAGCAAATTCCCCCTGCCATGGGCACGGACACACCCCATACCCTGGGCACTGACCCACCCCATACTGTAACAGATACTGGCTTTGGACCTGATGCTGATAACATTTAGGTCCTTGGCTTTTTCAAATGTTGACCACAAAACACAATGCACTGTGCTGGTGTCCATCTCTGATGAGGCCAGTATGTGTTTGGCCTGGTATGACCCATATGGGCCCTACCCAGGTAACCCACACAGACCTGTCAGTATGTGTTTGGCCTGATATGACCCATATGGGCCTTACCCAGGTAACCCACACGGACCTGTCAGTATGTGACCCAGATGTATAACCCTAAAGGCTCCCATACTGAATACCCAATATAAGTCCATGTGTGATTGCTCTGGTTAAACCTATATGGGTCCTACACAGGAAACCCAAATGGGCCGACCTGTATGTGATTCAGATGACTAACACAAATGGATCCCGTTTGAATTGCCCAGTCTAAGCCCATGCCCATTAGAACCCATAAAGCCCTCTAATGACCTTTGTGGGGCCCACATGGACATGTTGGCTGGAATATACACTCACCTAAAGGATTATTAGGAATACCTGTTCAATTTCTCATTAATGCAATTATCTAATCAACCAATCACATGGCAGTTGCTTCAATGCATTTAGGGGTGTGGTCCTGGTCAAGACAATCTCCTGAACTCCAAACTGAATGTCAGAATGGGAAAGAAAGGTGATTTAAGCAATTTTGAGCGTGGCATGGTTGTTGGTGCCAGACGGGCCGGTCTGAGTATTTCACAATCTGCTCAGTTACTGGGATTTTCATGCACAACCATTTCTAGGGTTTACAAAGAATGGTGTGCAAAGGAAAAAACATTCAGTATGCGGCAGTCCTGTGGGCGAAAATGCCTTGTTGATGCTAGAGGTCAGAGGAGAATGGGCCGACTGATTCAAGCTGATAGAAGAGCAACTTTGACTGAAATAACCACTCGTTACAACCGAGGTATGCAGCAAAGCATTTGTGAAGCCACAACACGCACAACCTTGAGGCGGATGGGCTACAACAGCAGAAGACCCCACCGGGTACCACTCATCTCCACTACAAATAGGAAAAAGAGGCTACAATTTGCACGAGCTCACCAAAATTGGACAGTTGAAGACTGGAAAAATGTTGCCTGGTCTGAAGAGTCTCGATTTCTGTTGAGACATTCAAATGGTGGAGTCAGAATTTGGCGTAAACAGAATGAGAACATGGATCCATCATGTCTTGTTACCACTGTGCAGGCTGGTGGTGGTGGTGTAATGGTGTGGGGGATGTTTTCTTGGCACACTTTAGGCCCCTTAGTGCCAATTGGGCATCGTTTAAATGCCACGGCCTACCTGAGCATTGTTTCTGACCATGTCCATCCCTTTATGACCACCATGTACCCATCCTCTGATGGCTACTTCCAGCAGGATAATGCACCATGTCACAAAGCTCGAATCATTTCAAATTGGTTTCTTGAACATGACAATGAGTTCACTGTACTAAAATGGCCCCCACAGTCACCAGATCTCAACCCAATAGAGCATCTTTGGGATGTGGTGGAACGGGAGCTTCGTGCCCTGGATGTGCATCCCACAAATCTCCATCAACTGCAAGATGCTATCCTATCAATATGGGCCAACATTTCTAAAGAATGCTTTCAGCACCTTGTTGAATCAATGCCACGTAGAATTAAGGCAGTTCTGAAGGTGAAAGGGGGTCAAACACCGTATTAGTATGGTGTTCCTAATAATCCTTAAGGTGAGTGTATATAGACATGGTGTCAGTCTTGTGATTTTAAATATTTCATAAGTAGTAAAAAACTCTTTCCTGTATTTAAATTAGTTGTAACTTAGTTAAGCCTGTATAAAATTATACACTTGCATCACTATTATTTGGCTTAAGAGGTACAAACTCATGATCAGAACTGAAAACAAACGCAAGATCAGAAAGACGACTCATTGAATAGATATATTACTGCACTAATCAAACCATATTTATGTTTTAAAATGTGGCGAGTTTTGCCTGTCATGTAGAAACTGTTCTTTATGTAGAGTAAGAAAAACAGATGCGGCCCATAATGGGTGGAGATGCAGATGAAAGGTCTCTGGGTTATTTTGATCTTTTTCAAGTTCATCATTAACTCTGATGGTATGTATTGTTTAAAAATAAGTGTTAGATTTATGTCTGGTGACTCTTACTGTATAATAATGTTTAAGAAATTCTGATTGAAATGGGTTTGTTTTTGGTGTACCAACTGATGCAGAAATATTTCCTTACCAGATACTGAAGTATTGATTCGTAATTGATGATTTGTGCTTATTATGTAATGCTTTGAGGCATAAAGTAATTTTGTATCTCTTATTCCTGTGGTAGGTAGTTTAATTACTTTTGGAGTTGTTTCTTACCTGTGATTTTGAAACAAAAATCACAAAAGTCTTTCATCTTCCAGGTTCCTAATGGCAAAATTTTAAAAAGTTATAAATTAAATGTTAAAATGGAAACAGCCCAAACCATCTGAGTGTCGTCCCTAAACAGGAGGGAAAAACACACAAATGTCGGGTTGCCAGGTTGTGTGACTCTTCCTGTTCTTGTTCCAGAGCGGCTGGTGGTGACGGGTGCAGATGAGCCTGTCTCTGCATATGCTGGAGAGGATGTGACTCTCAGCTGCTCTGTGGACACCCATGTTAATGTGACAGAGCTTCAGGTGGAATGGAAAAAGACAGACGATGACATCATGGTGCTTCAGTACATTGACGGAATGAACAGACCAGATTCTCAGGATGAGAGATACTCTGGAAGAGCTGAATTCTTCACTGAGGAAATTCCCAAAGGAAACTTCTCAATTAAACTGAGGAAAGTCAGGTTGGAAGACAAAGGAGAGTTCAGGTGTGAAGTCCACTCAGATACTGATTCTGCCAATACAACAGCCAGGATAGCAGCATTGGGTGAGTCACCAGGTCACCTACACAAGGTGTCACATACACAAGGTGTCACATAGGGCAAACCAGGCCGACTGTCATGTTTTTACTTACAGGTGAAGATCCACCTGTATGTCCTACATGTTAAACTCCTTTAGCTGTTAAACACCTTTATTGTTTTGTCCTTTTAACTCCCTCAGGCTTGGTTACCACTTTACTGACTCTTTAAAAGAGGTTTTTAGTAAAGTCAAGCCAGAAATGTTTTTAGATTTTTTTTTGTATTGAAACCTAATTGTAAGCATCTTATTTAGGCTGTTTTAACTGTTTGTAACATTGCGTAATTATTTACGATTTTTTTTTCATTTTGGATAGTTCAGTTTGTTTTAATTATCCATATACTCGCACCATGAATATAGCCCTAGTTACTGGCATGATGTTAAAAAGTCAGCTTAACATAACACTGGGTGAGTCACAGGCTTTAACCTGCATCTCCACATAGTTTTGTGTGATTAAATCACATGTTCATTCCCCTGAGGGTCAGTGGTTCTGCTGTAGAATGATCTTCATGCACATCCCATAGTCATACTGGGTTTAGTCAGTTTTATATACAAAATGAATGAATGTGTATTTGCTTCAGGCTCCCACTTTAGAGCATTTTTCAGCTCTAGATAAGATGTGTTTTATTAGATTATTGCAGTATAATCTATGGTTTTATTTTCACTTAATAATAATGTACTAAATAAAGTTAAAAAAAAAATAAAGTTAACAATTAGTAATCATGCACATAAAATAAATTTGTGCCCCTGTTTCATAGAGTAATTATTGGGTCAGACATGCTGATTATAGTCTAGTGTATCAAGCCTGTTTGGAAAAATAAATTCTGGAATGTATTTCTTATTTTTTAGGTTATTCATCCCTGCATTGGCTGATTCTGATGCTGTGCATCACTGTCACACCTGTAGTCCTACTTACTGGTGCTTTATCTGTCTGGCATTTTATACAGGAAAGTAAGTAATTTTCAAACATTCAGTATTAGTAAAGCACAGGTCAAAAATGATGTGAATTACTGTGAAGTATCTGCTCTTCATTTCTCGTACTTCTGATGACATCAGTCATTGCATGTTTGAAGCCACTCATCCTGTAGAGGGCATCTCAGCAGACATGGGGCATCAGGTAGGACTGTATCTACATAGGTGCCTGTTCATTGCAGAGCTTAATTTCAAGATTCAAGATTGCTGTATTTGTCACATGCATAGTTGTACAGGTACAACATGCAGTGAAATGAATTGTATCCTGATCAACCCGACCATACATATACAAATATTGTAAGGGGGTAGACAGGTCAGGAAGACAGGAGATATAGAAAGAACAGAGAGAAACAGAATTACATGTAGGGAGTACATTGTAGGAACCGAAAAAAACATCTCAGCAATATAAGCACATGGTCAGTACACCAACAACGTAAAAAGTCGCGACTTGCAACAGGGGAGGGAAATGGGGAGGTGGAGGTGGTCCAGCATAGACAAACAGCCATCCGGTCCTGCAGCCATAGCCAGCGATGGTCACAGACCCGCCTGTTCACGCTGGGGGTATGAAGTGGCGAAGGCGTGGGATGGGGGGAGGGTGCGGTGAGTGTGTATCTGTACGTATGTATATGTGTGTGTGTATCCAGGTGTCCTTGGGATTGGGGGAGAGGAATGCAAGAGAGTCTCACTGCCTTGTTCTTCCGGGGGAGTTGTTAATTCAGCAGCGGCCTTGGCCAAGGCCAGTGCTGATTAGGATGGAGCCAAAAGCAGATAGAGTAAGGTTGTTTGGGTTTTCGGGCGAGAAGCTGTAATTTCGCAGCTCCTCTAATGTCCACGCTGGTCTCCGCCATCCAATCCTTTGCAGAGCTGTGAGCTTCTCCGTGATGTTATCCAATTTGTGATCAATAGTCGTAGTGATGTATCCAATTTGCGATCTATAGTCACAGTCTGAGTGCTAACAGCTCTGCCATCCCGGCCAGCCTAGTGGAGCTTTGAGCAGCTGTCACCGTTTTCTTCAGTTTTCGATAAACCAGAGCAATGCCTAATCCAATCAGCATAAGACCTGTAATCATGATCCTGAATAGGTAGATATCTTCAATGTCCTCCACGGAAAGAGCTGCCAGACACACGACCCTCCACTTCTCCCGTTGGTCCATCGTGTAGCCAGCTGCGTACGTTCCTGCAGGACAGTCCGGTTCCCCCGAACCTGGGCTTCTCGTCAAGAAGATGGTGTCAATTTCGTTGAGAGACCAGTTGATCAAATCCATGATTTTTCTTAGTTTGGAGAGCAGGGCTGAGAGAGTCTCTCAAAGTATAAGACAGTAGACTAGACGAGACGAGAGGAGCAAAGCAGGGAAGATAAGGGGAGGGAGAGGGAGAGAAGTGCGTCCCCCTCCGCTGAGAGCTAAACGAGATTTAATTGTGATGCAATTAACATGCTTTGATCCTCTGTCTCTGGAAACAAACACATAAGTGTGACTATAAAGTATTTCGGAAAGTTTTATCACTCTAAACCCCAGCAAACCAAAACAATGAACCAAAACTGACTCATTAAAATAACACTAAAAATAATCTGTTGAGCCGGACTGTCACGTCCCTCTGTCCAGCCCTCTCATGTGCCATGCCCACCTTGTTACCCTCATGTGAATTTCCAACGTACCAGCTGTCCTGCGCTCATTCTGATGTCATGTCCTATATTTCAGTCCGCGTTCTAGTCTGTTTCCCCAGATCTGTCATTGTGGTTTTGTGTCTTCGTCAGCTGTGTGATCCCTGTCTGCTCATTTTCCCTAAATAAACCCATTATCTTTGGATTCCCGTCTCCCTGATCCTGCTTCCCCACTCCCTGCTTGCTCGCCCGTCACACGGATTATAACACTGACAGTCTGTACTGGTCGTCTGTAGGTGAGCATGCAGCAGAATGACAATCTAAGGATGACTGTAGATCATTGAACTTTGCATGAACCATTTAATGTTAAAGTGCAGGTGGTTACATTTGGTCCTACTTCCTGTCCATAGATAAAGGCAGACAGGCTCTGTTGAGTCACTGGTCACTTGTCACAGTTCCATCAGTCATGGTTTCCTCAGCATTCATCCTGTGGGGTGTAACTGAAGGTGAGCCCATTAAATATGGTTTATACTTGTATTTTGATTTATTTAAAGAATGCTTAAACGCAGATTGATCTTAAGTATTTCTGTCATGTAAGTTTTGCGATTTAAAAATGTTTTATGGACAACATCAAACATTTCACTAGTAAATGTTTTTATGTGTAAATAACAATGAATTATCTTAACTAGATAATAGTGTAACTAAATAAGACCAGATTTACCTCAGGTACACTGATGGAGTTAATATAACTGTCATTGTACTATATATGTTAATATAACTGTCATTAGTTATTTGCTTTGATTTGTCTTTAAGACTGATAAACATATGGAAGATTATAAGCACAAAAATTCAAATGGCAATTCATTTTGCAATTGGCAATTCAATATTCAATCAGAGCATGCATTTGTCATTTCAATATTTAATCTGAGCATGTAATTTGAAAATACATTTTGCAATCGGCAATTTAATGTGCAAAGTGCTTATGCAATCCTTAATTCATTTCAAAATATTTTGAATAATAAATAGAATAACAATTCACTGAATTGCACATCGTATTGCCGTGGGCTTTTTGCCTCTTTATTCAAATGGCAATTCATTTTGCAATTGGTAATTCAATATTCAGTCAGAGCATGCATTTGTCATTTCAATATTTAATCTGAACATGCAATTTTTAAATACATTTTGCAATCGGCAATTCAATGTGCAAAGTGCTTATGCAATCCTTAATTCATTTCAAAATATTTTGAATAATAAATAGAATAACAAGGCACTGAATTGCATTTCGTATTGCCATGGGTTTTTTGCCTCTTTATTCAAATGCAATGGCGTCCCCGGCAATTGAATTGCATGTTGGGGGGAAAACTCAATTTGCAATTCCCAACCGTCAGACCAAACCGTCTCGTAATTATGACTTTCTATCTCGTAATTATGACTTTGTATCTCATAATTTCCTTTTTTTTTTGTAATTATGACTTTCTATCTCGTAATTATGACTTTGTATCTCATAATTTCGACTTTCTATCTCGTAATTATGACTTT